CGGCCACCACAGCCTCAACCTGCTGGGCTCTGGCGATCCTTCCGCCTCAGCCTTCCAAAGAGCCAGAACTCCAGGCGCGCGCTACCACGCCTGGCTAATTTTTGATTTATTGTAGAGACGAGGCCTCATCAACTTGCCCGGGTGGGTCTCGAACCCACGGACTCAGACAATCCACTTGCCTCGGCCTCCCAAAGCGCTGAGATGACAGGCTGAGCCCCCAAGCCCAGCCAATTTTTTGATTTTTTTCGTAGCAACGTCTCGCTATGTTACCCAGGCTGCTCTGGAACTCCTGGGCTCAAGTGATCCTCCCGCCGTGGCCTTCCAAAGTGCTGGGATTGCAGGTGTGAGCCACCACGCGTGGCCAGAGTGATTATTGTTAACAGCGATGTATTGCCCGGAAGGGAGGATCTGAAATGTTCCCACACATAGAAACGGTAAATACTCAAGGAGATAGGTATCTTAAATACCCTGGTCATCACACATTCTATGCATGTATCCAAATACCACACTTACCCCGAAACATACGTACAAATATTTCATATCAGTTTTTAAATAAAAGCTCAGGTCTAGTAGACTTTATATCACCTGTCCTGTCCCCTCCCCGCCTTCTCCTCTTCTTTCTCTCCTCTCACCCACTCTGCTCCAACCACACGGGCCTGCATTTTATTCCATGAAATCACCAGTCCCCAACCTGCCTCAGGGTCTTTGCACTGGCTGTCCTCTCTGCCTTAACGAGCTTCATAGCTCCCTTACTCGCCTCTTTCAGGTCTCTCCTCACAAGCCACCTTCCTGATGTCTTCACTGGTTAAAATTGTACCTCTTCCCATTCCTACCACCCTCCCCTAAGCCCCTCCCTTCTCGAATTCCCCTCCCTCCATTTTTGGTGGTCATCTGACACACTAGAATGTTTAATTCCTCCTTATTATTTTGCCCACACCGCCCTCCTGTCCATTCCTCAACTAGAACAAAAAACTCCACGAGGGCAGAGATTTTCATTCATTCTACATGTTTTTATTAAGCACCTACTATGTTCAGACACTGTTCTGTTCAGCAGGGAATTAGACAGACACCGACCCCTGCCTTCTGGGAGCTCACAGTTTATCAGAGAGGGACAGGTTTGAAGCAGTCAATTACCAAAGTCTTTACATAGACTAGAAATCGGCCAGGTGCAGTGAAATTGGCTGGGTGTGGAGGCTCATGCCCGTTATCCCAGCACTTTGGGAGGCCGAGGTGGGAGGATCGCTTGGGCCTAGGAGTTTGAGACCAGCCTGGGCAATGTAGTGAGACCTCATCTCTACAAAAAATACCAAAATTAGCTGGGTGTGGTGGAATGTGCCCGTAGTCCCAGCTACTTTGGAGGCTGAGGTGGGAGGAGCCCTCCGGTCCAGAAGTTCAAGGCTGCAGTGAACTGTGATCCTGCCACTGCACTCTATCCTGGGTGCCAGAGTGAGACCCCCGAGTCCAAAAAAAAAAAAATTGCCTAGAAATGTATTTAATTTCCAGCCAGACCTACTTCCTTTCCCATAGCAGTAGTTCAAAAGTATGCACTTTGGAATTTTTAGCATTAAAATTCTATTTGAACATTTAATTTGCATGCATGCATTTTAGTTGTGCATATTGATGGAGTTCTATGGGACATTTGATACAAGCATACAATGTGTGACAATCAAGCCAGGGTAATTGGGATATTCCTCACCTCGAACTCTGCTGTCATTTCTTTGTGTTGGAACTTTCCAGTTTCACCTTTCTCGTTATTCTGAAATATTGCAATAAATTATTTTTAATTATAGTGGCTCTATTGAGCTACCAAACTCTAGATAGATCTTATTTCTTCCATATAACTGTATTTTCTTTTTTGAGTTGAGGTCTCACTCTCTCCCAGGCTGGAGAGCTGTAGCACAATCATGGCTCAATGCAGCCTTGACTTCCCGGACTCAGATGATCCTCCCATCTCAGCCATCTGAGTAGCTGGGACTACAGGCATGTGCCACCATGCCCGGATAATTTTCTTTCTTGTTTTTTTTTTTTTATTATAGAGATGGGGTCTCGCTCTGCTGCCCAGGCTGGCCTCGAACTCCTGGGTTCAAGCAATCCTCCCACCTCTGCCTCCAAAAATGCTGGGATTACGGGCGTGAGCCCCTGCTCCCAGCCAGGATGGTCATATGATGAAAAGGAAGAGGGTGGAATGAATCTGGGGAACGGCCGTCATCCTTGGCTCTCAGGTTCAGTATTGGAGTTTGAACCTGCCTCTGCTTTGCTTCCAAGCCTTCACTTTTGACTTTCATCTTTCTCTATCTAGTCCTTGGATGTTCGTGGAATGGTCCATGGGCCGGAAGCCTCAGCATCTTCCAGGGGCTTGCTAAAAACACAGAATCTCAGGTCCCCCTTCCCCAGACCTGCTGACTCGGCACCTGATTTTCCAAGGTCTCCTAGGAGACCCAAGGGGAGGCAGAAGATGCCTGTGGACCCCTCTGGGTAGGGAGGATTCAGATCAGTGCTTCTCAGACCTTCCTGTGAGCACAGACCGCACAGGGCTCCTGCTCAAATGCACAGTCTGGCACGGCAGATCCCAGGCAGGGCGGAGCTTCCGCCTTTCGTCAGGCTGCCAGGTGATGCTGGTGCTGCTGGCCCGTGGACACTCGGAGTAGCAGAGGTCTGGGGTCTTCACGGTACTGGATTTCACAGGGTTGGTTGCTGTGTCCGTTTCCTGGGGCAGCCTTAAAAAATCTCCACGAGCCAGGCAGCCTAGAACAACAGAAATGTTCTCTCACAACTCAGGAGGCCAAGAGTCCTGCAGTTAATGTGGTGGCAGGGCCATGGTCTTGGCGAAAGGCCACAGGGTACACGCTGTTCCATGCCCTTCCCTAAAGCTTCGGGTATTGTTGGCAAGCTTTCTTTCTCTCTCTCTAATGCCTCTTTTTTTTTTGAGTTGGAGTCTCACTCTGTTGCTCAGGTCGGAGTACAGTGGCATGATCACTACTCAGCACAGCTTTGACCTCCTGGGCTCAGGTGATCCTCCCACCTCAGCCTTCCTTTTAGCTGGGACTACAGGTACATGCCACCACATCTGGCCAATTTTTTAAGTTTTTGGAAGGAATGAGGTCTCGGTATGTTACTCAGGCTGGTCTTGAACACCTGGACTCAAATGATCCTCCCACTTCGGCCTCCCAGTGTGCTGAGATGACAGGCACGAACCACCATGATGGCCTCTTCTCTCCCTTTTTTTTTTTTGAGTCGGAGTCTCACTGTCGCCCAGACTGGAGTGCAGTGGCCGCTCCCGGCCACCGCAGCCTCGACCTGCTGGGCTCTGGAGATCCTTCCGCCTCAGCCTTCCAAGTAGCCAGAATTACAGGCATGCGCTACCATGCCTGGCTGAGTTTTTGATTTATTGTAGAGATGAGGTCTCGCCAAGTTGCCCAGGCGGGTCTCGAAACTGTAGGCTCAGGCAATTCACTCACCTCAACCTCCCAAAGCGTGGGATTACAGGCTGAGCCACCGAGCCTGGCTACCCTCTTCTCTTCTTATGAAGACCCCAGTCATCCTGGGCTAAGCCCATTCTACTCCAGCCCTGCTTCATCCTCACTTCTTACATCTACAAGGTCTCTACTTCCAGATGCGATCACATTCGCAGGTGCCAGGGTTTAGCACATCTACCTGTCTTCCAGGGGGACACAGTTCACCCCCCAGTGGTCACCTCCGCCCTCCTGTGCTGAATTTCTCTGCAACCTCACCCTGGCTTGTCTTGTCTCATCTCTTGCTTCCACGCCGCCTAGACGTGAATGAGTGTGCAGACACCACCATATGCCCGGCGTATGCCACCTGCACCGACACCCCGGGGAGCTACTACTGCACCTGCAAACGTGGCTTCCTGGCCAGCAACGGGCAAGAGCACTTCAGGGGTCCCAGAGTGGAATGCAAAGGTGAGCCCTCACCCCCAGCGCTCTCCAGCACTGGGTAGGAAGGGTGGGTGAAAGCGGGATGGGGTAGTGGATGTGGGTACGCCCCCACAACCCCAAGCATGAAGCCCTTGTCCCTCCTCCCTCCTTCCCTTCCCCCTTCCTTTTTTCTTCCTTCCTTCCTTCCTTCCTTCCTAATTCTTTTCGAGTCAGGGTCTTACTCCGTCATCCAGGTTGGAGTGCAGTGGCACAATCACGGCTCACCGCAGCCTTGACCGCCTGGGCTCAGGAGATCCTCCAGCCTCAGCCTCCCAAGTAGCTGGGATGATAGGTGCACATCACCATGTCCAGCTAACTTTTCTATTTTTTTTTGTAAAAAAAAGAAGACTTACTATGTTGCCCAGACGGGTCTCAAACTCCTGCGCTTGAGCATTCCTCCTGCCTTGGCCTCCCAAGGTACTGGGATTATGGGCATGCGCCACCATTCCTGGTCTTCCTTCCTTCCTTCCATCCATCCTTCCTTCTTTCCTTTCTTTCTTCCCTC